ATTGTATATGCGTTGGCTACTGAGGATGCACAGAAAGAAAATATTTTCCCTTTGCATGCATCCTCTCATCCAGAAAGTCCACTTCCCATCCTTTCCTTATAAGAAAAAGGGTGGGAAGAGAAAGGGGACTAAATTAGGTCACAGGGACGCACAGTCATCAGACGAAACGCGGATTTGCTTCCACTTGACGTCTGTCTTCTGTGTGGTTGTGGTATTTCACCGGGCTAGCCGGACCAATTCGTGCGGAGATGTTAAAGCGGTCTCTACCACTGTTACCACTTTTTGGTCCTAAGGTCAGGAAATTACGTTTTGATATTGTAATGTACATCCATTTTATTATGATACACGTTCACTTTAGGTCCATTATAAAAGTACTTAATAATTTTGATTAACATTGCACTTGTCTTCCAGTTTTTATAGCCATTTTTATACTTTACTGAATTGTTTTAGCGAATTTGAAGTACAAGGAATAAGGTATTAGCGTACGAACATAATACTTTTGTTAGAGTTTTTTTTTGTTTAATATTTTCTTTAATACCTTATTAGAATTGCAAAGTTAAGAATTTTAAGGTGAATAAAAATATTTCTCATTTGTAATAACAATACGGTTGCTAGAATTTTTTTATAGAAAAATCCTTTCGGGGCAAAAATTTGAACAATGGAAGAAAATTACACAGCGTTATTAACGTAAAGAACTATTGTTTAGAACAAAAGACGCAGCGACCGTGATATTAATTTCAGTCGCATGTTTATTTTAATGTTAGCTATAATGGAAGTCGACCTTAATTTTTATTCTTTTTTTACTACTTAATATTACTAAGAAGACAGATATCAGAATAATAACAACTGACTATGATATATTCAGATTAATAAATAGACGAAGAAACACATTTCTTACGGACTTTAAGTATGAACATGTATGGCGGTGGGCACAATAAACTATCGGCCGACGAAAATTCTCTAAAAATCAAAGTGATAGGTTCAAATTTGGACACCAAATGTCTCTTTAAAACACATCAAATAAACTTTACACTATTTAAAATCTAAAAAAATACTTTAACAATATTATCGCATTCTAAAGAAAATGCATGCAGTCAGTAACATCTATTCGCAAAATGTTGAGAGTTATTCGGAAAATTAATTTCCAAACATGGCGATTAAATAGTTCCCCTCTTTGTCGCATCGGCGACACGCCATCAAAAAATTTGCCACACAACAGGAATTTAATCAAAGCCATCTACAATGTAGACAACTATGCATATACAACTATCTTATAGGTTACATAATTGCTTACAAATTATTTTATTTAGTTTACGTACTAAATTCCAAGGATGATCTGTGTTTTTGAATATTATTTAACCTGTAAACGATCAGGCCACTTCATCATAAACCTGCCCTTATCCCTACGGAAAGTCGGCACAGTGTGTACTACTCCATGCATATCCTCTTTCACACTACTTTCTTTGGTCTTCTTCTACCTAGCCACTTGATCACGAATGTTGACCACTTGGTCAGTGACCGCTGCAACAGACAGAAGAAGGGAAGGAAATGGAAGAGAATTAGCCATCGTATTATTAGTAAAGCGTATCAACTAACTCCCGGTTTTGTTAACAAAAAATATTGTTGTAAAAGAAAATGTCAACTTGTTTGTTCGTTTAGTTCTGTAAAAACTTCATCGTATTCAATACTACAATTCAAAGAATTATTAAAGATGTACTGCTTCAAACAGCTTGTCACTTTTTGGATTGTATTTTATGGAATTTTAGTTATGACAGCCGTAGAGGGCTACGATGACATACTCAGATGTCAAAGTTAACCTTGTTCTAGCATTGCCTTATTTGATATTACTGTCACCTTTAATTAAAGGAAACAATACTTAAGTATTTTGCATCATTTATTCTTTGTTCCTTTTATAGATGTATCGACTTATTTACGTTCAAAAGTTTAGCGGCTTTATAAAAACTAACAACTAATGTAGTTTACATCGCATAAGGAATGAGTAAACTCAATGAGTTTTGAAAGGTGGGTCGTTGAATATATTTATACGTAATTTAGTTATTTGTAAAATTATATGTCAAATTACAGATTAATCGTGCGATTTTTTTTCTCCTTCTGTTTGGTTGTAACAACTTGTCAAATGTTAACTTTATGACCTCGGTTACCAATAATTTTATACTTAAGTAATATAATATTAAGTATTTAAGGATGCTTTTGTACATCATCTCAGATTTTTTTTATCCTTTATTTAGCTTTAAAATTAGAAAAGATTGTTTTTTAATGAGTTTTTGTACTCTTTGTCCGACTAATAGTACAGTTTTATGGGCATCTTAGTATGCAGGTTTGAATGTATTTCAATTTCATTGTGACCTATATCCTTGCGAAATCTCTAGTAAAATGTCATAAGATTGTTCCCTTGAGTACGTTATATACGTAGTTAGGCTTATTTTTATTTTCCCTAATTTCCAAATTCGACCCAAAGTGGGTAATGGCCTTAAACACAAGAGATCGCCAAAGTCGCCAGTACTGCGCTGTCTCCAGCCTCATCGAATGTAGCTTCCTCATGTCCTACGGCATCTCGCCAGTGGTATCTGGGCCGGCCAACTAGTTTCCTTAAGATCTGTGAGAGCGGAGAAATGTCATGCTATTAGTTAATCGATTCGATGCGAGAAAATATTTAACGACGCTACAAATTCAACCGTTGAATCGATTACCCATTATCAACACTGTCGATACTTTATCTCACTGTTTAAATTGTAATCGATTTTTTTATTTCTACTTCTTTCACCTAAATGTATACGTAATGCTTTTTGGACTTTAATTTTCGTGAGGAAAATATGTGTTATTTTCGCAAAATATTTATTACAATTTATGACGCTTTAATCTTTAGCTCCGATAAAATTTCTATAGATATGAGTTAAACGATTAGTCAAGATTTATAGTATAACTAGCTGTCACCCGCAACTCCGTCCGCGCTAAAAAAAACTTATTAAATAGCTCATGTGCTCTTCCAGACTATGTTCTACATATAGATGTAATTGCCAAGATTCATTAAGATCTGTTTAGCCGTTCCAGAGATACCTTCTGTTAGGAAAATAATCCCAAAAAGGGGCAGTGTATTGACTCAACACTAGCCTTACTAAAATGTCGTCGTTTGTGTCAACTCACTATTCATTCTGACACTGGACTTTGTAACGAAATCACGTCATTCGCACCGAATGATTCTAGCTAATACTGTCTAAAACTTCTAACAAACGTCCATCTAAACATTTGCATTTATATTATTAAGATTATCAATAAATTCCACAACTACCCGTCTCGCCATGTTTGACTTGAAGTTAAAATAAATGGAATTTTACGAACATGTTTCTTACTTTGTTGTCGATACATTCTATAGGGACAATAATTGTAGTTTAATTTAGTAACAAGTTATATAGCGCTAGTTTGATGTATCGAGATAATATCTAAAGTAATAAGTCCTTATTTGTCATAAACTGGACATTTAAAATATTTTTTTTATTTAATTAAATACTTGTAAATGTATCCAATTGAATAGCTTTTTTTATTATCGACCAGCTGTCGCCCGCGATTATGTCTGCGCTGAATTAAAAAGAAAATTAATAAGTCGCCTATGTGTTCTTCAAAAGTATGTTCAACATCTATGCCAAATTTCAGCAAGATCCGTTGAGCCGTTCCGGAGATACCTTTTAACAAACATCCATATAAACTTTCGCATTTATAATATTAATATGATTGATGATGGAAAATTGTGCATAAACTTAAATTATACTTACATTAACTTTAGTATATTGAAATTGTACTTAAATCTAATTGAAAACCATTCATTTATTAGTCCTATCCAGAACAGAAAATACTGAACTCGTATTTAAGGCAATTTCCTGCTAAATCTCTATAAAATCTCTTACAAAGGTCAAATGACTTAATACATCGGGGATACTTGTTACCCTTGATTTGGTGTAAGTGTCCGAGTGGGGTAAACTGATTCCGACTCATCCAATTACGTACACCCTCCCTTAAAGGCATTACTATTAGGGGACTATTCTTGACATAATATAACGTTATAAAATGAAAAAGTCGTAGATTGGGCAAACGAGCAGTGGGAACACCGAGGTGTTCATCGACGTCCATGGACATCTGCAATATCAGAGGAACCGCAGATGCGTTTCCAGCCTTTGAGATGGTGATATGCCCGCTTCTTGAATGACACTAAGTCGTAGCGGTTTGAAATTACCACCGAGGACAGTTTGTTATTGTTAAAAAAAGCATCAAATAAATTTATTGAAATTAAATGGTGTATTATTTATAATCACAGATAGAAAAATAAATTAAGTTCTCAAAGTACTTAATTGCTTATCTCAACAATTACTAAAAATAATTTTTCTCTCCATCGTGAATGAAAGAATAGTCTCCCTCTAATATCATCAAGGTGTCGACATTTCAAACGGCTCATTGGCTCCGTAACATCGTAGTAGATGGAGGAAATTCGGTTATTGGGATTAATGAAAGCGGAAACATTCCAATTTGTTATATCCATTATCGTCGCTGATATTGTTCAAGCAAAAACTAAGCTCAATGAATCGGATTGATACGGTCGCCCCTTTTAGTTTTTGAAGAGGTATATTTTGACAGTTCTTGATAAGTGTATGTTTTAATATATGTAGATTTTATGACTTGAAATATATAAACAATACTCAATTAACTTTTAGTTAGATTGATGAATGGATGTATCTGTATGTAAGGAAGTAACTCCAGAATAGCTCAAAGGATCTTGATGAAATTTGGCACAGATGTAGAACATAGTCTGGATGAACATATAGGCTACTAATTAAGTTTTTTTTTAATACCGCGAGAATGGAGTCGCGTTTGACAGCTACTTAAATAAATAATTTCTATGTTCTATGTTCAAATGCTAGTTAACAATTGGTGTTAAAAGGAAAAAATAATAACTTTTATTTTAATCATTTATTTTATCTTTGTTTCAGGAAAAGTCTGGCGAACCTTATTCCGGGAAATTATCGGTGAAATCGGATTTAAGTCCTGTTTTCGGTAAGTGTATACATCGAATTATAATATTCTTAATGTTTTTATTCAGAAAATGCACGTATCCGAACACCGGACATGGTATTCCATGCATGGATCACTTTGTAAGATTATCTATTCAAGTACGTAGCTTATCTCACTTAAGTTATGACGAGAATAGTTCATACTTGAATACCCAATTATCAATCCAGTGTGACAAGTCGTATGACGGGTTCCAGCTGTGTTGCCAGCCTTTGTGTTTATATCAATGTTGATGTCAATATATATTAATTATTGTAACGCTGGAATTAAGTTTATGGGCACTGATTTGATAATGTAGTTGTGTTTAGTGGTGGTTCAAATGCCTTTAAGGAAAAACAGTCTTATGTCTATAGTCGAAATTAATAGGAATTAGAACTTGTAACAAACTTATCTAAACAATTTAATATAAAGCTGTAAGTACAACTAAAGAAAATAAGTAAAACTTTTAGCCAGTTGAATGTGTTATTATTATTTTTAATTTCAATTGAATACGACTATACTTATGATAGAATAAAGAAAGAGGTTAACGAGCAAACTAATTCATTGCGTAACCACTTGTTATATTAAACTAAACCTTTTGATTACTCATTACATCAGTTTAGGGTATAATCTAGATGCTTTAAGTTTAGCAAGCAGATTTACCGCTTATGTAAGAAACAAGTCGTATTAATTTAAAGCAAATCAAAGAACTTCATAATATGATTTATTGTTGAATAATCGTCAGTATTTACATGTATTTAGTTCATTTAACTACGATCTATAAATCGTTCAATGTAGTGATGTGAAATTGATTTCAGTGTAAGTAAGACAAGGTGGGAATTATCACCGGGATTTAATGGCGGTGCTCGGCTCGCGGCCATTATGTGAGAATTATGTGTGTTTTATCGCCAGCTTATAATCATCTGTCACTATCGTTACAATATTTTCGTATAATTTCATCTGGCTCTACCTTTATTTAGAGAGGTTAGTGTGATTTATCGATAAAAAATATCTAATTTTTAATTGATATTTTTTGTGTTTGCTAACTATAGAGATACTTAACAATGCAAGTTAGTTTTAATTTGAAAATAAGTGTTTTTTACTTCAAATATTTTCGGTTATTGTTATAATAATATGATATATAAGAGTTCATAAGTAGATATTACGTACAACAAATTTAAATGTTTTATTCGCGATGTATGTAATTTTAGCGTATTTTTTGATGGATATTTTAAAGATACTTGCTTAACGCTTACGTTTAGTTTTAGTAAATAAATCAAACTTATTCTATCAAAACAATAAAAAACTAGCGATATCGACATTTTATCACGGTCTGTTATCGACAGCCGCGCATCACTAACCGGCTACGGGCGAACGCCTCGTTATTTGTTGTTATTAGTGTCGTTTTTTTCTCATTTTTTTCCTCGGGAGGTTTTTGAGAACCGGTTACGGAGTCTAATCTGATCAGTTCACCACGACCCGAGCTCCGTGCCGGACCAGGAAAAAAAATAATGCAACCGATATACAGTCAGCATCTATACACTATACATGATTATAAACTTTATTCTATTAAGGATAAGGTTGTATGTTCTTTATTTGCTGAGCGATTCTTAGTGCAAAGAACGATATTGGGTATTGAAGATTGGCTTCAGTAATATAACTTTAGTATGTGTTCTGCATTTTTAATCTAACTTGTTTCTTTTAAATACATTTTAGGTTAATCGTAACATTGTAGTACGGATCGCTTTAATGTCGGGTTTACTGTGCCAGTACAGTAGGAAAATGTACAGTTGGCATATTGTAACACAAACTGGCGCAAGTAAGCCAAAACTGTCCATGCCAACGTTGCTGTCCAACTGTACTGACATAATGTAAACCAGGCATTAATGATGTTTACTGGAGTAAACTGCTTAAGTTGGTTAAAGAATCTTTTTTTCTTCTCTAAATATTGAGGTATTCAGACGAAAAATTTCAGACAGTATTATTTTCTATGGAAAACGATATTAAATACAAAAGTAGTTAGCGATGGTTAAATTTAATATGGTATGAAAACGAGCATAGTACGTTTCCTAACATAGACCATGATTTTCTTCTAAAACTATTAATCATAATTACAACAAATCACTCTCTGAAACATATCTCTGTACAATTAAAAACAGTGAAAGTATTTATTAATACTCCACATTTATCGTATTAATAATTAGGTTATTTAAGTTTAATTCCAATCATTAATTCATGACTTCATTATAATGACATTCATCGTTCATTTCATGCAGCCGAAGTTATAATTTCATTTATTGAATGCGTTAATCCGCGATAAAAACGATTAATAACCTACCGGTGTATTTTGCCAGACATTTTATCTCGTGACATTTTGCGGTTTGTTTTTTTTATTGTGACAAATGTGTAATTTAATATTTATGTTAATGTATTCATTGCATACATGATTTATAGATAACTCGATCATTTGAATGTAAGAACATGGCTTCTAGATTTTTCGTTGTTACTTGTCGCTTTTTTTTAGTTCGGTTGGAGATCATCATCATCAGCATCATACGTCCCCACTGAGGGTTTCGGAGCCTCCACTAAATTAGGGGTGATTAGGCTATCCACGCTGGCCAAGTGCGGGTTAGGATATTTGAAGGTTGCATTACGATTTTCCTTCTCCGTAAGAATGTCGGATAAATGTACATATGTAAATCGAAAATCGAAAAACACATGGCAAGATTTGAATCCTGGACCTGCAGATTACAAGTCAAGTGCTTAACCCCTGAGCCATGAACGCTTCGGTTGGATATCATCTGCATATAATATCATTTATTTTCTCTTTATTAGATTCACAATGATTTTATTTTTATACAATATTCTGACTTATGATTTAAGAAAACTTAAGAGTGGATCATGTTATGGTGACAATTTTTAGCAATATCTACATCACAATGATATAAAAAAATCTGTTTTGTAAGTATTGTAGGAGTGGAAACCTACAATAAGATGAAAAGGCCAATGCAGACTGGTTATAAGTTTGACCAATTAAATGTCACAAATGTCTTTCCAAACTTTACGTAGGTGGGAAATAATAACCTGAATAAAATTTGTGACAAATTATGTTTTTTTTTAATAACAGTCTAATATTAATAATTCACTCAAAACTATAGACAAGTTGCAGTAAACTACGTTTTAAAAGCTAATAGCTTTTATATCGAGATAGTGGTTCGATAAATTCGAGGCCATTATTCTATTTTCGTAAATATTAAAAATCAACGCGATAGTTTCATCCATCTATCAAATGCAACGCTAAATGGATTTCAGAGGATGTTATGTGTTAGGGTTGCCTCAGTTTTATTTAAAAAATATAATATTGTTAATATTATAAATGCGAATGTTTAAATGGATGCATACTTGTTAGAACGGTTGCACGTATCTTGCAGTAATTTGGCATAGATGTAGAAGATAAGCTACAAATTAAGATTTGTTTTTCGTATGGAATCGCAGGCGAAAGCTAGTATTGGTTTTAGGGGCTTAGACCATTACTTTTTATTAGTTTTAATACATTCAAAGCGCCATGTCTATTCTTGCAGCTGTTTCTTTTTGTACAATGTTCTATTTAATTCCTTTTTATTTGGCAAGTTTATTTTCTATTAAATAATTTGTTCTTCTTTTAATTTTAAATATTCTATTCGCTCCAATAACCACAATAAAGTGGTAAGTACGTTTTGACTATAAATGTGTTAATGGTTGTTTCCATTTATCAGATATAGATAATCAAAAATGATTATCTTAAACGAAAATTATATTCAAGGAATAGTATATTATCAAATTCCTTGAATATATCTCGAATCAAAATCTAATCTGAAAAAATACGTTAAATGTATTACGTCGCATAGGATTTATTGTCTTTAATGTATTATTTCATTTCTTTCTCGCATGACGTAATCCGCTATATCCATCTCACTCGCTCTCACAATTCGCGCGCAACCAGTCGGCCTACCTGTCGCGATGCACGCTGTTTTATGTCATTATATCCAGCATCTAATTGGAACTTGATATGCGTTCACAATTAGACCGTCGTCGTTAGGAGATTAACGAGCTTTTTACACTTATAATGTGAGTTGGTGCAAGTCACAAGCATACGGTCTGAGTGCTGACAAAACAATTTGAATACATCTAGTTAAATTGAATTAAATAATGTACTGCATTAAGTTTGTACATCCTTAGATTTACTAATAAATACGATGAAAAGTTTTTCCAGTGGTGAATTACTCGAGATATTAATCTAATATTTTTTTTATTTGCTGTCTGTCCTTTTTGGTAACCATGAACTCTCCCTCGCTGTCGGACGTTAACTGTCTTGATATAATTTATAAGAATTACTCGTAATACCTAGTAGAGGTCACAAATGTCAAACAGTGGATAAAAGTACAAGTGAAATTTTACATTATTCCATTGCTATTGTTGCTTTTATATCAAGTTTATCTTCTATATGCATAAAACGCAATGTATTACGTACAATTTTGACAGAACACTGGTAAACTCGTAATTAAAATCTCGTACGTACTTTGTTATTAAATGTTTTAGAAACGCTTCCACTTACATCATTTGCTGACTTATCCATTATCTAAAAATCATTTTAGGGGCTCGTATCAATTAATAATTAAATGTATCTACTCAATCTTGTTTTTTGTTATCTTAGTTTGCTCATTCGCTTATATCAAATATTTTCATTATAAATTTATTGAACACTAGCTTAGATGTGTATTTTACTTACTTTAACTATATTAAAATCAAGACTGACCGTGGGTTTCTGAGACCAAAAGCCCTGTTTAAAATATACTGTTATAAGGCTGGCAACGCATCTGCGATTCCTCTGGTATTGCCGATGTCCATGGGATGTTGAGGACCTCGGTGTTCCCACTGCTCGTTTGCTCCCTTCTGTTATAAAAAAAAATATCTGTTTTGTCAAAAATACTGTCTTTGAAATCACCGGTTAAACAATTGAAAAAGTA